CCGCGAAATTTAATTATTAGTAATTCCGGGTACTTTTTGAACACACCTCGTATATGTCTATAATACTTTCTAGACTTGCTTTATTATTCAAAATTACCTAACATAAGAAATTATGAGGCAGCTGGTTAAAAATCTTCATAAACCAGTAGTAAAAATTCTACTTTTCACAAATGGCTATTTTCGGGCAAGGCAATAATTATAAGTAGCTAAGTTTGAGTACTGCTAAGTTTCTTTGTGAGAAACAAAAATATTAGATTCGTAGATATATCGTTGGACATCATTGTAACATTTAGGCAGATGGTAGATGCTCCAACTACGAATGATGCTTTTCAAACACGCCGACCAAGTTAAAGATAGAAAAGTTTCGTTAAGACATGATAAACGATGTATAAATTTAAGACTAGTAGAAAATTGTAAATATTTACCATATTTAATATTTATTTCTTGATAAATTCACAAGTATATAGTTAAAGTTTTAACCACAAAATTTAAATTAAAAAAAAAGATTTTATATTAGAAAAGGGTAAAAAATACTATGAAAATAACTAATAATAATAGTAAATTTTGTAAAGAAAACACAGTCTTATCACTGCATAGATATATTGTAACAATAAGAATGAGCAACTCTTTATCTTACGGGCTGCTTTTAATTTTTTAAATTTTATGGCGGGGTGCACCTAATAATGTACAAAGCTTGATATAATTATACTTATAAACATTATAGTAGAAAAAATATCGAAATAAAAAAGCAAATATTCATAAACTAAAGCAAATAAAAAAAGACATTACAATTAATTTATTAATAGAAGAAAGTTGATGAAATAAATAAAAATCTACTTAAGAAATGCGTGGCGGGTCGCAAAAAAATATTTGATGTAGTTTTGTTTGAACAAGTTTCCATTATTGCTTTCAGTCGGTCAGTTCCTACAAATCATACGTTATCATGATCTGTAGACCGCACTGCTTTTAAAGTGTCGAAAGTAAAATTTTCCGTTAAATTTCTTTTAATAATAACTGTTACTTGTTTACAGATAGATTACTTTGTTTGTTATTTTGGTATAAGCTGAACAGAGTAGTGAATTGCCAGCAATTAGTTTTTGCGCAGATATTTTAGCTCGATCATAAGAATGATTTGTTTCCAAAAGTTAGTTGTGGTACGGTTGTGACAAAGTTTATGGGTACTGTTGTACCATGTATTTCTAGTCCTTTTTGGGCAAAGATTAAACAGATAAAAAAAATTAACTTAACTAACAATAAGATAAAATGCAAAAGAGAATGTGAAAAAAATTCAATATAAGCAAAATAAGGGTTTTACAAAGATTTCCTACAAACTGCCGAGGGCCTCAGAGCTGCTAATGCTGGATTTACGTTGGCCCTCAGGGGACTGACGAGCGAAAAGAGTTAAACATAACACACTTGTACTAATATTAAATGAATAAGTAAAAATTATTATGTGCGGTTTAGTAAATTATTTGACAATTTAAAAGTTTAAATATATTTTTTTGAATTTATTGTTATAAGGCCGTGTCATGCAGTTGCAATAAAACTCGCTAAATTTTAGGAAAATTAGTAGTTATGTATTTATGTACGCATACTGCGATTTTAAAAAAATTCAAACAAAAAAATGTCTCATTTAGTAAAGATTTCCCATATTTTAAAGATTTTATTTTTTTCACACTGTACCATATACCGGTGTTCCATTAAAATATTCAGACACATATACTTATACATACTCTTATATTGATATAAATATATTTTGTTAGGTCAGAGTGCTACGGCCAAAGCATCTGTCTCGCTCTAATTAGCATTCTTGAGGCAGTCATTTCGCGCTGTGGTGTCCCTTGGGAACTCCTAACCGAAGTGAGAGAACGCCATCCTGCATCCCATGGAAGGAGTAATAGACGCCAAAAGACGGGTCGTGGGGACAACTGATGGGGATTCCGATGGGTTGACACGGAAAGAGCGACAACGAGAAGCCTCAAGACAAGAAAGTGTGGGAAGTGCGCTGACTAAGAATCCGTCAACTAGTATTAAGAACGAAAATTCACCTCTCTTATATGATCACATTCAGGAAGATTTTGATATTTGTCAACTTCTAGATACGTGAGTAGAAGAACGTTCATTATCGATGTCTACCTAATTACATGCTTATGCGTTCGGCTCAAACAAAATAGCCACCAATAGATAAATCAGTAATAAACACACATCAATAAATCTGATATATAATTTTGGCTATAAGAAATAATAAATGTATAATAATTGAGTTATGTTTTCTGAACAATAAAGCTTCCGGGTTTTCATTATTTTTTTTATCTCAAAATTCGTTTATCGATGTTCCATCCGCATACTTTCAAAACTGTAGTTTTTTTTATTTTATTTGGCCTCGCTTACTTTGAGCATTTAGCCACCTACAACATTTTTATTTATTTACATTCTAATTTATATCATTTCAATCTATTTGTGTATCCTATTCTATATTCTTCTTAATTTTTCTTCTTCTTATTTTCTTCTATTCTTGCTCTTTTGTTTCAAATTTCTAATTCTATTTAACTTTCAGTTTTATTCCATTTTTTTTCTTCATTCTTCTTTCAAGTTCCAATATTCCTCTTCTTACTCCTAATTCAATTCAACTATTCGAATTCTGTTAATCCTAAACTTACAATTACAATTTTATTTGATTTCTACACATTTTTTTTAACTTCCCGTAGGGCAAGTTATAGTAATCGCAAAAAAATCGAAAATGAAAATTTTTATATATCTTTGCGTTTCAGAGGTTTCTGAACATTTTGGCATACCTTAGAAAAAATGGATGTATGTGTGTGTGTGTGTGTGTGTGTGTGTATGTATGTACGTGTGTGTATGTATGTGCGGATACAAATTTTCGTCGACGATTTCGGGAACACGGATCAACCGATTTGAATAATTGAAAAAACATTCGATTTGTATTGATAAGGAGACGTGCTGATTAGTTTTTGGCGAAGGCAGGTCTAGCCGTTCCGAAGATACGGGGCAAAAAGTGCCAAAAACGGTACCTCCGTTTTTAAGAGAACGGAGCGTCCGATTTTAATAATTTAAAAACCATTTTACTTGTATTAACAAGATGTAGAATTGATCAAATTTTCATGAAGGCAGGTCTAGCGGTTTCGGAGATCTAATAAAAAAAGTAAAAAAAAATGCCATTCGGCGGTTAAAAATGATCATTAGACATATGCACATAAAATTTTCAGATATTTTATAGAGATTTTAACAATAAGTATATTTTTTTTCTACATTTCTATGGGTTCCGTACCAATGCTTATGCGTTAGACGGCGGCGCGGCACTTGCGAGCTTTGACATGTCGTCTCTATGCAGTTCAAGCAGTGCGATTGCTTTGAAAAAAAGTTCAGAATTTCCAAAATATGTCAAAATGAAGAAAACATTTTTTTTTAAAAAAATTTTTTTGTTTTTAAAAAAAAGTAATTGTCAAATTTATAGTTTCTCAAAAATCTTTTTCGAAGTAATATTTTTTCAAAAATGTTAATCGTTTTTAAAAAAAATAATAACTTTTGGTACGGGAAGTTCCTGCAATTTGCCTTAAGGCACGATGCCCTAATTGCGTTAAGACAGAATTCCACTTACAGCTAGTTTTTTTCATAAATTCTAAGTCATTGACAGGATTTGATCCGAAGATCCCTGTCGTGTGAATCGAACACGCTACCAATGAGCTATGCTCGCCACAAAACTGCAGTTAAAGTGAGGCTTAAAAAGTGATGTAAGGTAATTAGTGCTCAAGAAGCGAGTTTTAGCTATTTAGATAAAATTTTCACCTGCTATTTCGAAAATAAAGTTTTTGCTTTCACTAAAAGCTAATCAATGCAATTTCCAATAGACTCTATGCAAGTGTACTATAGCGCACAAGCACAGGCTTGTATGCCCTAAAAGCGCAGCTCATTATTCCAAACCTCAATGAAATTGTATAACTCATCCACTTTTTGCAGGCCTCTATTATGGAATGTTTATTTAAATTATAAATACTATCAACATGTTTAGATTCATTACAACCGTCCTACTTTTTAACAATTTATTACTAAGAAACGGCCAGGCCGATATTTACCAAAAACTATTCAGCATGATTCACAACTAATATATTTCGAACAGTTTTTGAATTTTTAAAATCGATTCAAGATTTTTGTATAAAAAATGGACAAATAATTACTCACTTTTTTGCTAATTATATAGAAAGAGCTTATCCCATCGCGCAAAACAACAGTCTTTGTCGACTAACATAAAAAACTGCAGTTGTAATTCAATAAATTAGTTTGAAATAGAAAAAAATACTTAACAATAAAATACAAAACTATTCATGGAGAAATGCAAAAATAGAAAACGTGTAGCATATTTTGCAAATACTTTTTTTACAAAATTGCTATTCACTGTTCAATTAGTTAACAAAGTGGGTTAAGTTAATACGAAATTAAAAAGGTTAATAAAAATCTAGAACATTAAATAACACGATCAACAAAATTTACAACTGGAAATCATAAATAATAAGGTAAGAACAGCTTCAAAAATCTACTACTAATAAAATTGCCTTCTCTAATGTCTTACTATTTATAAAGGGATATGCTTTCAGATAAAAATATAAGGAGTAAGGACTAAGGAGTGTGTGCAAGTTATGACACTGATGGAAAAGTTTTGCCGTTAGATGAAAAGTTTGGACTAGCAGATTCTCGAGTAGGAAGGGAATAGAACTAACTACAAAATACGACATAACTAGATTCAAAATTACACCATGACTGAGTATACCAATTTATTATTTCCGCTTTTAATCGCATTAAATTTTAGTTAATACAAATTGTTTGACTACTTTAAAAACGATTAATGTAATTCAATCATAATTTTCGTAAAGCAAATTGAAAAGGTAAGCAAATGAGCAAATTATTATAATAGCAAAGATTGCTTAAAACCTACGTAACAAAATACCCAATTAAAATTTCAACAAAATTCGTAATAAACTTACCATGTGATGAATATTTTTTCGTACTTTCGTATGTCGTACTTTCTCCAGCAATTGCAGCATCTTCTTCCATCCCGTCCTCTAAAAAAAGTATATAATACATTTTAAATAATTACTGGTTTTATTAAAATATAATACTAATCATCACTATATATACACACATATATATATATATATATATATATATATATATATATATATATATATATATATATATATATATATATATACAGGGTGGCTGATATGTATTGCAACCAATTTCAGACCGCTATCATTTCTAAACCGCTCATCAGACAGATGACAGATTTATTCCAATGATTGTTCATTTAATTGTTTACAAGCGTACAAAAGCATTTTGATCTATTGTATTCAGAAAAAAAGTTATTCCTGATGGAAGTCAAGCGTGATAGTGCGATTGCTTCATACTTGGCTGGAAAACCTTAAGTGGCTATCTTTAAAGCCCTCCAGCATTTAAATGCGAACAAATATTTTGTTTCTCGTATCATATCTCGTAACCGTGATGCACTCAGTATTGCACCGCATCTAAAAAGTGGACGTAAAAAAACACTAACAACCCCAGAAATGATCCAAAAAGTATAGGCAAAAATCGATCGAAATTCGTGTCGCAGTGGTAAAAAAATGGCTCGTGAGCTGAACGTATCGTAAAAACGGATACAACATATATTGAAAAATGAGCTTGGACTAAAGCCATTGAAGTTCCAAAAAGTGCAAGGGCTAATCGATGCACAAGAAAAAGTTAGACGGGAAGGAACCAAGGGATTGCTTCGCTTGCACGAAAGTGGCTAGTTACCGAATTTGGTTTTCTCAGATGGGAAGTCCTTCCAAATCGAGCAGTTTGTGAACAAACAAAATGATAGGGTTTACTTGCCAAAAAGGTCAGCTAAAAATTTACACCTTCGATTGGCCACCAGAACTCAAGCGCTGCCGACGGTAATGGTGTGAACCACCGTAACGGTCGATGGTGACATTCCGCTCTTATTCATCGACCGTGGGATCAAAATAATTGCCAAAATTATCGGGAAAATGTCTTAAAGGCAGTATTGAAGTCCTGGGTAGACAAAAATTTCGGCCGCAGACCATGGACATTCCAACAGGACTCAGCACCATCAAACTCAGCACGCGTCTACCGAAAATGGCTTAAAAAGAGATTTTTCACTTCATTTCTATCGCACAATAGCCACCAAAATCTCTGGATCTAAATTCGTTAAACTTTTGCGCCTTGGACATTTTGAAGAATAAGGTTCGCACTAAAAAATACCAAAGTGTCGATCATCCCAAGAAGGCGCCTCGCCGGGAATGGGCCAAAATACCCCAGAGCCACTTTCGTGCAGCGTGTTATGGTTTTTCTGCCGTTGGAAGGCCATAATTCGTGCCAAAGGTGGCCAATTAGAACAAATATAAACTGATTCTAAAATTTGATGTTATTTCCGACATTTTTGCTTTTAAACAATGAAATTTAAAATGAAAACGACAAAGTTATTGCACTTTACTTTGTTGCATTACATATCAGCCACCCTGTATATATATATATATATATATATATATATATATATATATATATATATATATATGATAGTTTTTTCGACGTTGAAACATATTTCAAAGTAACTAGCAGCCCATTCGTCGAAATAAAAAAATAATAAAAAATTCAAAATTTTTTATATATATATATACGATATATATATATATATATATATATATAATTATAAATTATAATTTATAATAAAATGTTAAGTTTTGTTCTAATTTATAAATAAGTTCAACAATACTTAAATAGTAACATTCAAAACATAATCCAATATTTTAACACGTTATTCGCCATTATAATATCTGAAAAATCTTCACATGGGCCATGGTAAGTTTATCATATAATTTAGTTAAAAATGCTTCAAGAAAAGTGTGTAATATATATATGACTGACATGGCCCAATATTATTTATTATAAATATTTTTAACATATATGTCTGACATGGTTCATGTAAAACTTCTTAGCCTCAAACACATATGACTCATATGGCGCTTAACGTATTAATTATTTGATAGGAATTTTTAACTTTCATTTCAATTTAAAAAGTTCGTGTTGAATTTTATTTAATTTAAGGTTCCGTGCTAATGACAAAGTGCAAAAATTTCCATTTTATGACAAAAAGGTCTTTGCCCTATTTTTACAGAAAATTTTATAATATGCATATATTAACTATTAAACATTTAATAGAATATTGTACTTTTATAATTTACTCTAAACAAACCATTTATTTATGTGTTAAATATCGTTATTCAACATTTTTATAAATTTTCAAAAAATAGCTTTTTTTCAAACATTCTAAAAGTACCAAAAATTTTATATACACACTTTAAAAAATATCAATACGTTATTTGTTTTACAATTCTCATATAATTGTTTACTGAATTTAACATTTAATTGACTTAATAATTTTATATCAAATATTTACATCTAATATTTCTTTATAAAACATAAATTTGCAGCAATTTGCTAAGGTACAACTCATAATAACTATTCTTTTTTCAAAATTTATAGTATGTATATTAAACTACATCACATATTTAGTGCTACTAAGACAGTAACTTTTTTTTAAAAAAAAGTTATTTCAAAAAAGTTTGGTCCACGTAATAAGTGATGAGCTTTGATCTGAACCACCTAAGGGACGGCGAACAGAAAACGTTAAATCGCAAAATATTGCACTCAGGACGTAAATTACGACATAAACGCATTCCCAAAGGACCAGTCGTAATTCCGGGATACTTAAAAGTACTTTCTTTACACGGATACTCATACAATGTTAGACTTTCAGGTCGAAGGATAACAAAGTGAAAAGTTTCCATAACATTATCGCAGGACGCACGCCTCGACTTCAGAAAGATATTGTAGAAGAGACATTTCGAAAAGTCGGAACCATATTTTATTGGTGGCAACAATTTTTATTTGACAATATTTTATGAGCTATGTAATTGCATAAATGTATTTCATACGAATACCTGTTATTAACCAAATCAAATTATGTGCGAAGTTTATATTGTATTCCATTGTTTTTAAAGTAGTTTGACCACCAATATGAATATAATAAAACAAATAACAGTGTAAAGCATTTAATAATGTTAATCCAGTTAGATCATAAATACAACTTAGGATTGAGTTCAGAAAACCAGTATTGCATAGTAGCAAACTGTGGATAATCCAGGACCATTCATAAGCGATCGCATTAGTATTCAAACTAAGAAAAGTGGAACGTTCGGATGCTCCCACCGAATCTCGAGCGATTTACTAATGACCTAGACATAAATAGATAGTACCTCTAATAATATTATTTCAGGTGAAAAAATAAAGTACAATTTTCCAATAATCACATACAAATAACTGTAAAATTCCGATATTAAAACACCGTATGTTTTATACTCTTATTTATCTTACAATTAGAAACAATTTTTTCTAATTGCAAGTCTAATCATTTGATAGAAAATTTGAGAACAAGAATGTTCTTTTCACAGGAAATTAGCATAAAGTTGAAAATGTAATCAGATATAAATCTAGCAAAATTATATATATGCATTAGAAATTACTAATAACTCTAATGCTACATTAACTAATAGGCATATATATATAGGATATGATGAACATAATAAGCTTCAAGCTACTAAGATTTACGCAATGGAGATTTACGCAAAATACTACACATTCAATGATACACATGTATAATCAGTAATATATGTATTGTCATAAGATGCCATGCAATTAAAAACTTATTATCCCGACTTATCATTCACTCGTTCGATTTTTCTTATCAAATAACGCTAAAAAAACTCGGTTGACAAAATTGCTGCGCCCGCTTTCGCTACTATGAGCTATTCGATCTTCATATATTTCGTTCTCACAGGGGCACCTATGCGCGAAAGAGCGAACGTAATTCCAAGAGCAAAAAGACTCAACATGGCTGTCGGTCCCCAGAGGGTCCCAGGTGCCCGTCAGGGCCCCAACGGGGCTGCTGAAGACGGGCCGCATCGGGCGCGCTCGTGATACTCTCATGTAGTTACCGCGCTGAATGGGTATTCAATATTTTAGAACTCCTTCCGAAACCAGGCAATACTTGCTCATGGCGTATCATTATTAAGAAACATACATTTTTACACCTGCAGATATTGGAATAGAAAAGCAGGTTTCACAATATAGAAATAGTACCTACTATACTAATATATTATCACTTTATTCAGTTCAAATTTAAATGTCAATTGAAGTGCTTATGAATTTAATTTTGCTGCTAAAAACGCAGAATCAAAGATTACTTTTCCAATTCTATTAATAAACTAGTGGGGCGCATGGCATCGTGCCTTAAGGCAAATTGCTGGAACTTCCCGTAGCAAAAAAAAATATTTTTAAAAAGATTAACATTTTTGAAAAAAATTACATTTTTGAGAAACTATACATTTTTGATAAAAAGTTACTTTTTTTTTGAAAAAAAAGATTTTTTGAAGAAAAATTTATTTTAAAATATGTTGAAACTTCAAAGCAATCGTACTGCATCGAGACGAAATATCGAAGCGCGTAAGCGCTGCGTCGCCGTCTAATGGATAAACATTTGTACGAAACCCATAAAAATGTGAACAAAATTTAAACTTATTATTAAAATCTCTATAAAATATCTAATAATTTGATGTGCATATGTCTAATGATCATTTATGACCGCCAAATGGCATTTTTTTTTTACTTTTTTTACTCGATCTCCGAAACCGCTAGACCTGCCTTCATGAAAGTTTGATCAATTTTTCATCTTGTTAATACAAGTAAAATGTTTTGTGAATTTTTAGAATCGGAAGCTCCGTTCTCTTAAAAACCGTGTTACCGTTTTTAGCACTTTTTGCCCTGTATCTTCGGAACGACTAGACCTGCCCCCGCCAAAAACTGATCAGCAGGTCTCCTTATCAGTACAAATCAAATGTTTTTGAATTATTTAAATCGGTTGATCGGTGTTCCCGAAATCGTCGACAAAAATTTGTATCCGCACGCACACACGCACACACACACATACACACACACATACATACAT